ATGGAGGAATATTTAATATATATTTTTTTATATATAAATATATTCAATTTTATTTCAACCTCAATGCATATATATGGAGATTGATGGCAGCTAGGGTCCAATGCTTTGCATATGGTGGCCCTGAGGGGACATGTGGTGTAGCAGTACGATAGCTTCCCGCTTTCTTCTCTGTGCAGGTTGGTTGTGAGGTCACATGACAGCTGACCATCCTGGATCCATATGTGGGATGACCCGGAACAGAAGTCACATGACCATCAGGATATTAGACCTCACCTTGGAGATCATCTACCTGCTGACTGGAGAGGTGAGGAGGATTCTGGGAGGTCACATGACATCACTCTCATCTCTTCATAAAACACACACCTGACCGCAGAGGTGAGGAGGATTCTGAGAGGTCACATCTGAAGGAAATGTAATTTTTTTCCTTATCTAGGTGTATGTACCTGAATCAAAGCCCAGCAGTCATGTGGCACCGAACAGCCGCAACTGTGTGTCCATAGGTTGGCGCAAGAGCCACAGCCCCATCATGGACCCTCCACCTCCCTCCCAGATAGATGAGAGAATCAACGACAAGAAGATCCTGGAGGTCATCCAGAAGATGATTGAGCTGCTGACAGGAGAGGTGAGCGGTGCCGGGAATTCTGGGACATGATCCAGGAACAGACTAGGGGTGTGTCTGGATGGTGACTATCATTGTGTGTGTCAGGTTCCTATAAGGTGTCAGGATGTCTCTGTCTATTTCTCCATGGAGGAGTGGGAGTATCTAGAAGGACACCGGGATCTCTACAAGGACGTCGTGATGGAGAATGAGCCGCCCCTCACATCACCGGGTAAGAGGAGAGAGCAGTACGGAGGCTCCGCCTACATCCCCCATCATCTGATACACACATAGAAACAATGTATTCAGTCAGTGTGTGTGTTTCCTACAGATGGATCCAGTAAGAGGAACCCACCAGAGAGATGTCCCCGTCCTCTGTATTCCCGGGATTCCACACAGGAACATCATGAGATCCCTCAGGCCCGTCCTCTGTATTCCCGGGATTCCACACTGGAAGATCTCACCGTCCCTCACCATGATCAGGTTGGTGGGTCTGATAAGTCTCACAAAACATTTTTCCTGAAATCCTCTGTGGACATGATAGAAGGTTCCATGTTTTGTGTTGTCCAGATTGGTGTCTCGGTTGATATTAAAGTTGAAGTTAAAGAAGAAGAAGAGCCGTCTGTGATGGGTGAGGAGCCATGGAAGGAGGAGGAGGTTCCTTCAGAGATCAGCACAGGTCAGTTATACTCATGTATGTGCCGGGTTGGCTGTCAGCTCCGCCACAGACGGAAGCCCAATGTATGGGTGTCCCTATGGGGAAGGTACAGCACAGCATTGTAACCACTTACATCTCTCCTTTATGTGACGTGAGCTCATAGATTGCGTCTGCAACATGTAAATAATAGGAGAGGAGGACACAATGTACCTGGTTGGCTGTCAGCATCCCCACAGCCTGAAACCCAATTTATGGGCGTTTCCGATGGGGAAGCTATAGTACAGCTTTATAACCACCTACACCTCTTCTCTGTGTGATGTGAGCACATGGATTGTGCCTGCAACATGTAAATGAGGGGAGGACACGATGTATCTGTTTTTTTGTCTACTCCGCCACACACAGAAGCCCAATTTATGGCTTTTCTGATGGGGAAGCTTCTGTACAGCATTGTAACCTCTTACCCCTCCCCCTTTGTGTGGGCGTGCACAATATGTCTGGCTGGTTGTCCGCTCCACCACAGACGGAAGCCCAATTTATGGGTGTCCCTATGGGGAAGCTATTTATGGGTGTGTAACCACCTACACCTCTTCTCTGTGTGCTATGAGCTCATAGATTTTGCCTCCAACATGAAATCGGTAAGGGGGGGGGGAGGGGAGGACATGATGTTTACCATAGTTACAAGCCCTTCAATCACAGCGTGGATCAGAATTGGACCCAGTGCTACATGCTCTTGGTCTCCCGGAGGATTCGGAGTGATCTTTCAGTTACATAGTATTTGAGGTTGAATAAAGACATATGTCCATCAAGTCCAACCTGTTGTGTGTGTGTATAGTCCATGAGTGTTCTCATTCTTAAGAGTACCTGTACCCCTGTACATTTCGGTCTCTCAGGAAGTCGTCCAAAAGCCTCTTGAATGATTCCAGATTAATTGCGGAAATTACCTCTTGAAAGTTGTGATGATGATGATGATTGTTCTTGAGCATTGTGAATGTCTATTCCGTTCCTTCATACCATCAGTACACCATATAAAACAACATCCAAGGGTATGCATTCACGGAAAGTTCTTTTCATGTCCCGCAGATGGACAGAACAGCCGAAATATTGCAGAAGATTGTCTGTCGCTTTCACGGTGTAAAATGAAAGACATCATTGAGACATTTGCGGGAGACAAGGCCGCCTCGCGTTATCTTCAAAGTGCCAGTATACCACATGCTCCCTCTACACACGGGAGGCATCTTCCTGCCCAGTCCAGAATTATTACCCATCATACATCTGTCTCGGTGGTTGAAACGCGCCTCCATTCAACGGACTCTTTTCCCCAAAAGTCGAGCCTTAATTCAGGGGAGGCCTCCAGCCCAGATCAGGGGTGGCTTACCTGCTCCGAGTGCGGGAAAGGTTTCTTGAACCAAGCTCTTTTCCTAGCACATTGCAAATCCCACAGCGGCGAGAAGCCCTATGCGTGTCCCTACTGCGGGAAGGGCTTTGCGCACAAGTCGGACTTCAACAAACACCAGCGCATCCACACAGGGGAGAAGCCTTTCTCCTGCTTGGAGTGCGGAAAGAGCTTCACCCAGAAGTCCAATCACATGCGGCATCAGAAGGTCCACCTGGCGGAGAAGCCGTATTCCTGCTCACACTGTGGCAAGGGCTTCTCGCAGAAGTCCAACTTCCAGAGGCACATTCAGAGCCACTCGGAGGAGAAGAGCTATTCCTGCCGGGAGTGCGGACGCCATTTCGCGCTGAAGGCTCACCTCCTGCAGCACCAGACCGTCCACAGGGGGCAGAAGCCGTATTGCTGCACCGAGTGCGGGAAACACTTTGCTCACCAGTCTAGTTTTTATCGGCATCAGAAGAACCACACTGGGGACAAACCGTACGCCTGCCGCGAGTGCGGAGACCGATTCACCCAGAGCTCCAGTCTGGCCAGGCACCAACAGCGCCACCTACAGTTACTCCACTGAAAGTGCAGGCCGTCCCTCTACTGCGGATGGACATCCAGTGTGGAAATCCCAATAAATATTACATTTTTTCTACTGGTCTCTTCTCTTCCCTCTCTGATAAGTTTGTGTCCTGCGTATTATTATTATACATGTATATGGCTCTGACATATACCGCAGTGCTGTACAGAGAACGCTGAGCCAGTCACATGGATTGGGCTGAGGATCGGTATCTTTTAGAGACCCGTCCCTTCTTCTGAATTCCTTCCTGAGATCTGGCATGAAGGAATGGTTCTCTGTTCCAGGAGATCTGGTGCGTTCTGTCACAGAGCAGTGATCACTCGAGGGACCGGAATCAGCCCATTGGATGCCGCCACAAGGGGGAGGTGAGAAGGAGAAGGGGAGACTGGTTTGGATCTGGCAAATGGATGGCAATTAAAAGGAGCCGCCATGCTGCCAGTTAACCAAGGCACGGTCATAGGGGCAGAACTTGTTGGCCAAGACGTTGATCATGGGGGCAGAACATGTTGACTGTTGACCAAGACGTGATCATGGGGGCAGAACTTGTTGGCCAAGACATGATCATGGGGGCAGAACATGTTGACTGTTGACCAAGACGTGATCATGGGGGCAGAACACGTTGCCTGTTGACCAAGACATGATCATGGGGGGCAGAACTTGTTGGCCAAGACATGATCATGGGGGCAGAACTTGTTGCCTGTTGACCAAGACATGATCAGGGGGGCAGAACACGTTGCCTGTTGACCAAGACATGATCATGGGGGGCAGAACTTGTTGACTGTTGACCAAGACGTGATCATGGGGGGCAGAACTTGTTGGCCAAGACATGATCATGGGGGCAGAACACGTTGCCTGTTGACCAAGACATGATCATGGGGGGCAGAACTTGTTGCCTGTTGACCAAGACATGATCATGGGGGGCAGAACCTGGAATTCTGGTGGGGCCGTCTTCTCACTGAAGAAGCCAAGGGAGTGGTTTAGCCCATGAGTGTCCACCCCCTCAAACTCAGATGTGTCAGCAATTTTAGGGATGGCCTGACAGCCGTACCCAAGCACCATCGGGTTGGTGGTGGTGGTAAAACGAAAATGTCCGGTGTCCTTAGTGAGTAAGAGGCGGGACTTGATGGAGAAGCATTTTTCAATCTTCGAGTGGGAGTACGGCTCCTTACCACTGTGCTTAATGTTATTGCTGGTGAGATCTCCATAGGCGGTGGACCACGTCCTGCACTCTATACAGCATTATGACTCCTCCCTGCTATGGATCGTGTGATACCTAGAAAGATTTTTATTGGCGATGAAGCATTTTCTATATTTTGAACAGGAGTATGGCTCCTCCTTCTGATGGGTCATCCAGTATTTGGTTATGTTAGGTGGCAGAGCATTTCCTGTATTCTGAGCAGGAGTATGGCTCCTCCCCGCAATGGGTCATGCATTGTTTGGTTAGGTCGATGTTGGTGGTAGGGCGTTTCCTGTACTCTGAGCGGGAGTATGGCTCCTCCTTCTGATGGGTCATCCAATGTTTGGTTAGGTGTATGTTGGTGGTAGAGTATTTCCTTCACTGAGCAGGAGTGTGGCTCCTCCCCTCTGTGAGTTATGTGGTATCTGGTGAGATCTCCACTGGTGGTTGAGCATCACCAGCTGCAAACTTCCTGAAGATTGGGTAGATGGGCGTATACTCAAAGCATTGGGTTTCCCTGGAATGATGACTCCCTTGGTGACTGGCCAGTTACGTGGACCTCTCTGTTGAGAACTCTGTGATCGATGGCCAGGGTGAGTTGGAGACAAAACCGCCCTCTGAGCAATATTATGGCTTCTGAACTCCTCCCTTTTTTCCGCCATATCACTTGTCGCAATGACAGATGCGCAAAATGCGGCACATTTGTGCAGACCACTACTGCAGCTTTAATCATGAACATCCCCTGGAGTATGCTTACTACATACCTTGGGTTTGACCTCTGAGTCCTGACCAAGTGGACTTTACAGCCCCGATACAAGCAGCATCAGACCTCCCACTTTGTCTCCAAGTTTCTCTCGTGGACATAATTGTCTCGTGGTCCATGTAAATTCTCATGGCGGTTCCTCCAATGTTCCAATGGTCCTCTTTGTCCTCATTCACTCTCTGACCTCCTGGTGAAAGGCATCTCAGACTACATCATTCCAGGACACAGCTGCTGCTACTGGAACAAATACATTTGTGGACATGGATTAGGTGTTCATTGATGTCAGCGCGAGGAAAGTGGAAGTCACATAACTGATGAATGTTACAGCAGATGGTGGAATCCATTGAGGTGTGCCGAGGAGCCACGTGAGTGCTGACCGTGCCACCAGGAGGAGAGTGGAAGTCACTACATATATGATGGTGGGAATCCATTGAGGTGTGCCGAGGAGCCACGTGAACGCTGACCGTGCCACCAGGAGGAGGGTGGAAGTCACTACATATCTGATGGTGGGATCCATTGAGGTGTGCCAAAGAGCCACGTGAACGCTGACCGTGCCACCAGGAGGAGGGTGGAAGTCACTACATATCTGATGGTGGGAGTCCATTGAGGTGTGCCGAGGAGCCACGTGAGTGCTGACCGTGCCACCAGGAGGAGAGTGGAAATCGCTACATAACTGATGGTGGGAGTCCATTGAGGTGTGCCGAGGAGCCACGTGAATACTGACCGTGCCACCAGGAGGAGGGTGGAAGTCATTACATATCTGATGGTGGGAGTCCATTGAGGTGCGCCGAGGAGCCACGTGAGTGCTGACCGTGCCACCAGGAGTAGAGTGGAAATCGCTACATAACTGATGGTGGGAGTCCATTTAGGCGTGCAGAGGAGCCACGTGAATGCTGACCATGCCACCAGGAGGAGAGTGGAAGTCACTACATATCTGATGGTGGGATCCATTGAGGTGTGCCGAGGAGCCACGTGAATGCTGACCATGCCACCAGGATGAGAGTGGAAGTCACTACATATCTGATGGTGGGATCCATTGAGGTGTGCCAAAGAGCCACGTGAACGCTGACCGTGCCACCAGGAGGAGGGTGGAAGTCACTACATATCTGATGGTGGGAGTCCATTGAGGTGTGCCGAGGAGCCACGTGAGTGCTGACCGTGCCACCAGGAGGAGAGTGGAAATCGCTACATAACTGATGGTGGGAGTCCATTGAGGTGTGCCGAGGAGCCACGTGAATACTGACCGTGCCACCAGGAGGAGGGTGGAAGTCATTACATATCTGATGGTGGGAGTCCATTGAGGTGCGCCGAGGAGCCACGTGAGTGCTGACCGTGCCACCAGGAGTAGAGTGGAAATCGCTACATAACTGATGGTGGGAGTCCATTTAGGCGTGCAGAGGAGCCACGTGAATGCTGACCATGCCACCAGGAGGAGAGTGGAAGTCACTACATATCTGATGGTGGGATCCATTGAGGTGTGCCGAGGAGCCACGTGAATGCTGACCATGCCACCAGGAGGAGGGTGGAAGTCACTACATATCTGATGGTGGGATCCATTGAGGTGTGCCGAGGAGCCATGTGAATGTTGACCGTGCCACCAGGAAGTCTGGGAGCGGACACAGAATAAACATTGCTTTACCGTGGTAATACTTTTAGCTCAGCGTATTGAGAGCAATAGAACGGGGGTAGTGATGACTATTTGAACAGAGGAAGAACTGCCACCAGAATATACGATATAAGTGAACAGAAGCATTGAACTAACGGTACCACGGCGGCCTGTGCACGGCTTTCCGTCATTCCTATGTGAACACAGTAAGCCAGTGGCGTAACTATAGCCATGGCAGCCCGCGCAACTGCTATGGAGCCCAGTGGTGGGAAGGGGGCCCCAGTAGAGAGTGCGGCAACTTTACGCTATCAAATCAGTGGCCATGTAGAGACAACACGGATCCAGAACTGTGTCATTAACCCCAATCCTGAGCTGACGTCCGTCACAGGTCTCCCTTGCTTTCCCGCATTTTGTGAGTAGATGTGTTGCCTTCAGAGCTTCTGGTTACCTTGGCCACCACTTGGATATTAACTGCAGTATGAAGTTTGACCACAAGATGGCAGTGCTGCCTCCAGCCCGGTGGAACGCATGAAGTACGGTGAAACGCACAAACAGGAAGTCTTGTATAACAAAGCTTTATTAACAACATCCAGCAAAAACAGAAGAATTTGCAGTGGGTGCTGAACTAAGCAGGTAGTATATATGGCCCTGTGTCTGTATTCTAGCCAGGGCAATGGTACATTGATGTCAGCGTAGTCCCTCTGCCCTTCCTTCCTCCTCCGAAGGGCCTGCATTTGGTTTGACGCGTCGTCCTTTCCTAAAAGCATTGTGTACTCGGTGACCACACTTGAAGTAGATCATACAATGAGGCTTGTGTCCAGTCAACACTGCCAAGCAACACTTTGTGTAGGCGGAACTACAGAACTTGACGCCCCGGGGATCTGCTCAGAGGACACCATCCGCCCGGTGGGACGCAAACCCCGGACGCGGCGTGGAACGCACAGACCGGAAGTGCCGCAGAACTTCCTCTCTCGGGCTAAGTGGCGAGGAAAGGAAACGAGCTGACGGTGTGTACTGAATGAGGGTGAGTTGGGAGACGTCTGCACAGGGGAAGAGTGCCGGTATTGGGCTCATGTGAACGATGGGACGACTGGGGCTATCTGTTGAAGTCATATGACCGGGTAATATAGCTGTCGTACTAGTTTCTCACCACTAGGTGTCGCTGTGCGTCACAATACTATAGGGATACAAGTCACCTGGCTGTGTATGGCGGGTGTAGTGTCATTTTATGGCCACCAGATGTCACTGTGCTTCACATTTCTATAGGGATACAAGTCACCTGACTCTGTGACATGGCTGGAATGTGATTTTACACTGAGGATCTGCAGAGTTCCGGGCCTATAAAGCAGGGTGTAGAGGAGGAAACGACTCCACCAATGATGGGGAAGGAGCGGAGTCGCATGACAAAGAGGATACTGGACCTCACCCTGGAGATCATCTACCTGCTGACCGGAGAGGTGAGGAGGATTCTGGGAGGTCACATGACATCACTCTTATCTCTATTCATAAGACACAGACCTGACCGGAGAGGTGAGGAGGATTCTGGGAGGTCACATGACATCACTCTTATCTCTATTCATAAGACACAGACCTGAACAGAGAGGTGAGGAGGATTCTGGGAGGTCACATGACATCACTCTTATCTCTATTCATAAGACACAGACCTGACCGGAGAGGTGAGGAGGATTCTGGGAGGTCACATGACAGACCTGACCGGACACATGAGTGGCATTACATGGAAGTTAAGTGTGCATATGATATTTTTTTATCTAACCATTAGCAATATGGACCCGCAAGGTCATCTAGTCCACCATGTACCTCACTGACACCTGATATAAACCACGACAAGAAGATTCTAGAAGTCACCCAGAAGATCATGGAGCTGCTGACGGGAGAGGTGAGCGGTGCCGGGAATTCTGGGACATGATCCAGGAACAGACAAGGGATGTGTCTGGATGGTGACTATCATTGTGTGTGTCAGGTTCCTATAAGGTGTCAGGATGTCTCTGTCTATTTCTCCATGGAGGAGTGGGAGTATCTAGAAGGACACCGGGATCTCTACATGGACGTGGTGATGGAGAATGAGCCGCCCCTCACATCACCGGGTAAGAGGAGAGAGCAGTACGGAGGCTCCGCCTACATCCCCCATCATCTGATACACACATAGAAACAATGTATTCAGTCAGTGTGTGTGTTTCCTACAGATGGATCCAGTAAGAGGAACCCACCAGAGAGATGTCCCCGTCCTCCGTATTCCCGGGATCCCACCCAGGAACATCAGGAGATCCCTCACCATGATCAGGTAGGCTGCAGCGTTTCTTTTCATACTCGGATGTGTGGAGGGGCGCGGCGGGTAGACATGATGGAGATTTCGGTGTACAATGAGTCGATATTTCTGGATCTGTGTTTCAGGACGACAATCTGATTACTGTGAAGACTGAAGTGAAGGAAGAGGCAGAGGAGCCGTGTGTGAGGGGGGAGGAGCCGTGTGCAATGGGGGAGGAGCCGTGTAAGGAGGAGGAGATTCCACTGCGGATCCGTACAGGTGAGAAATAAACACTAAATTCTCTCCTCATCCCTTCCCCTCTTATTTCTCCTCTCCTCACTCCGCTCTCCTTATCTTCTCTTCCCTCTCTCCTCCTTTCTTTCATTTCACGATTCTTCTCTCTCCACTCTTCTCTTCATTCTCTGCCCTTTTCTCCTCTGATTCTTTCCCCTCTTCCCTTTCTCTTCTCCTCTCCACTCACTAGTATCCTGATTTTCTCTCTTTCCCCTCCAAATCCTGATCTCTCGATTCTCTCCTCTCCTCATTCTCTCCCCTCGCCCATCCCCCCCTCTTCTTCATCTCTTGAAATCCTGATCTCTCGATTCTCTCCTCTCCTCATTCTCTCCCCTCGCCCATCCCCCCCTCCTTTATTCATCTGTAGATTCTCTCCTCTCCACTCATCTCCTCATTGTCTCCCCTCACCTATCCCCCCCCTCCACTTTCTTCTCTTCTTTTCTCTCCTCGTCCCACTTCCCCTCTTCTTCCCCCCCCTCCTCCCACACGGGGCTGTATGTATTTCTTCATAAAACACTCCTTGGTAATGTGATGTCAGAAGTCTCGGCTCCTCTCCTCTGACTGGAATGTGTCATTGTCCCCGTGTTGCTCTTTTTTAAGCTGTAACTCTCGTTTCTTCAAATAACATATTGAAGAGGACCTGTCATGTAGAGTGCCGGTGTCACATGAACGTCTCCTTTCTTCCCGGCAGGTGTGGGGAGGAGCGACGGGTCCTCAGCAAGGAGTCTGACTTCAGCTTTGGGGTCAGAAGCAGAAATGAGTCGGGAAAGCCGCATTCCACCAAATCCACTCTGCGGACCCCCCAGTGTCGTACCACCGTCGGCTCCCTCCTCACTTCTAAGCCCCGATCCCCCCGAAACCGCCTCCTACAACTCCTCCCACCGGTGTGATGAGATGTTCCTCTGCCCCACATGTGGGGACATCTTCAGCGACAAAGCCTCCTTCTCCAAACACAAGAGCACCCACAACTTCCCGTGCACAGACTGCGGCAAATCCTTCGCCTACAAGTCCGGCCTCGACGAGCACCGCAAAACGCACAGCGGCGAGAAGTCGTTCTCCTGCTCCCAGTGCACCAAATCCTTCACTCATAAGTCCGATATCGTGCGCCATCGCCGCGTCCACTCCCGGGAGAAGCCGTTTTCCTGCCCGGAGTGTGGGAGGGGCTTTGCGCAGGAGTCCTATCTGATTCGCCATCGGAATGTCCACACGGGGGAGAAGCCCATTTCCTGTGGGGAGTGCGGGAAATGTTTCTCGCACAGGCAGCACCTGGCGATCCATGGGAGGAGCCACGCGGAGGAGAAGCCGTTTTCCTGCGGCGAGTGTGGGCGGAGCTTCAAGCACAAGGCGTACCTGGCGGAGCACCAGAGGCTCCACACGGAGGAGAAGAAGTATTTCTGCTCGGAGTGTGGGAAAGGTTTTTCACAGAAGCTGTCGCTGGTTAAGCATCAGGTCATCCACACGGGACAGACGCCGTTCTCCTGCGTGTTCTGCGGGAAGAGCTTTCCCCGCAAGTCAGACCTCCAGAGGCACGAGAAGCGGCACCGAGGGGTAAAGCCTTTTCCGTGCTCGGAGTGCGGACGCTGTTTTGCGCACAAGTCCGATCTCAAGCGACATGTGGTCATCCATACGGGGGAGCGGCCTCATTCGTGTTCGGAGTGCGGGAAAGGTTACACGCGCAAAGCCGACCTGGTCCATCATCAGAGAATTCACGCCGGGGGGACGAGTCTTTCAGCTCCTGAGAATGAGGTGATGCTCACACAGGAACAAGCGGGGACCTAAAGAGGACCTGTCACAGCTACGAGCGCAAAATTCAGCCTGTTGTACTTAGACTGCCATAGGATGCTGGAAGCATCATAGCATGGACATATCTAGCTTCTTTTATATTAAAGAGGAACCTCACTCCATGAATCATACGGGGTTATGTACAGACGTGCCTTTTATTTACCATCCCGAGAGGCCCAGAATGTGAACTTCAGCCCAAAAGCCCAACTCTAGCCAAAACCTTTTCAAAAGAGTGTGGGAAAGGTTAGAACCTCTTTTTATCAAGTGTGGTTTATTGCTGTATGTGTCCCTGCGGGGTGCTTTCCCCTCGTGTCTTGTCCCGGTACCACCCAAGCTATTACAAGAGGTGGGACAATCACTTCAAAGGGGACCCAGGCACTAAACCTTGGCAGCGGTTCTAACCTCCTGTATCCTGGAGCCCGGCCTCCCTGCTTTGGGACCCGGCCTCCCTGCTTTGGGGCCCGGCCTCCCTGCTTTGGGGCCCGGCCTCCCTGCTTTGGGGCCCGGCCTCCCTGCTTTGGGGCCCGGCCTCCCTGCTTTGGGGCCCGGCCTCCCTGCTTTGGGGCCCGGTCTCTCTGCTTTGGGGCCCGGTCTCTCTGCTTTGGGGCCCGGCCTCCCTGCTTTGGGACCCGGCCTCCCTGCTTTGGGACCCGGCCTCCCTGCTTTGGGGCCCGGCCTCCCTGCTTTGGGGCCCGGCCTCCCTGCTTTGGGGCCCGGCCTCCCTGCTTTGGGGCCCGGCCTCTCTGCTTTGGGGCCCGGCCTCTCTGCTTTGGGGCCCGGCCTCTCTGCTTTGGGGCCCGGCCTCTCTGCTTTGGGGCCCGGCCTCTCTGCTTTGGGGCCCGGTCTCTCTGCTTTGGGGCCCGGCCTCCCTACTTTGGGGCTGATGATGGATCTCAGCACATCTGCTATGATCATATATCCAGCTGTAGGTATCACATTGACCACTGAAGGGACAACAAACCACATTTTGCTCTGTAGTTCCTCACCGCCTCACATGCAGTTCCTACGTACAGCCACAAGATGGCTCTGAATACACTGCTGGAGGCCAAAGGCAGGCAGGCGGTGGCACAGAGAGGAGGAAACCTGCCCAGAGGAGCTTCATTGGTAAAGGAAATACGGTGCTAGAGGCCTGCATGGTGTAGGGAGTTATAATGAACTGATGGAACAGACTCAATGGCAGAGAAAATGCCCCCGGGGGGGGGGTAATGGAGCATTCACAACATGCACTGATGGAGAAGGAAGGAGCCTTCCAGCCTCTACCTCATACCCTGGCCACAGGCAGAGGAAACAGACGACCTCCAGAGAGAGAGAGAGAGAGAGAGAGGACACGGAAGCAGCGAGGGATCGGGAGTAAGACCGTATTTAAAAGGCCAGGGGCAGCCAAACTCCGGCACCCTCCAGCTCTGGTGCAACTACAAATCCCACGAGGCATTGCAAGATTCTCCCAGCCACCGACGTGACTCCCGGGGGGAGATGCATTATGGGATTTGTAGTTTCACCACAGCCGGAGTTTGGCTAGCCCTGCAGTAGGTAGTCCTATGGGTCAGGCTGATGAAGGGCAACCTCTGTGTTGCTATCCCTAAAAACACATTTCTGACCTCCTGAGGTGACCCGAATGAGTGACGCTGGACGACGTGCCTGCGGACCGACTCCTGGGGCTTCATGGTTCATTTTCAGTGGCCAGCGGATGACTCCACATACTCCTAAGGGACTGATGTGCTGTCCTTCCTTCCCCACTGGTAATGCGTTTTCTGTGTCATCCATGGGCGGGCAACTCCGGCCCTCCGGCTGCGCTTGAACCTTTTTATCCCCATAGGACATATTCTAGCGTCCTCTTGTGACTCAAAGCTCACTATATGGCGGGCTACTGCCTGCTATATACTGAGACGCCGCAGCCGGGACGGAACCTGACATTGCTGTCGAGATGCACACAGCTGCGTGAGTGACATCTGGCTCTGCCTATCTAGAGGCAGAGTCGGCTGTGCCCACCCCCTCGCCCGTCCGTTCCTCCAGTCAGCGCTGGCGGAGTGGGGAGGGGGGAATCCCTGCAGGGAGCCGTGACTGACAGGGAGATGATCAGAAAGTGAGCGAGCGCCGGTATGTGTTCGCTCACTTCCCGATCTATAGAGCCGCCGTGTGATAGTTCCATGGTCACACGTCCCCTCGAAGTATGAGGTAAAAATCGCTCCCCTCATAGTTCTCCTTTTACCTACAAATTCCAACATGCCCCCGGGAGTCACGCCTGCGGCTGTCAGAGTCATGCAATGCCTCGTGGGAGTTGTAGTTGCACAACAGCGGGAGGGCCGGAGTTGCCCAGCACTGGAGAGTGTTTTCCAGCTAATCAAACCTTTAGTTGTGGGAAGCGGGCGTGGCGTCCAGACAGCTATTCTGTTGTGTCGCTCCATTGACTACAACCGTGTCTGTCCCCTCACATGGGAAATGGTTTTGCTATCTGGTGATCTGGAGGGGACATTAGTATAATTGTTCAATTACCCTTACCCAACGGTAATGCTGAAAACTCAGTAAAAAGCTTTGTAAAAGGAAAAAGCAGTGAAGTTGTAGATTATTCATATTGCACTGATTACATTTGTGTATAATATATAATAATAATACAAATTCCCGCTCATCTAATGCGGTGCAGTTCTCTGTGTGACCTCAGGAGGGCGCCCGGGTTCCCGCGCAGGAAGCAGCGCTCCACCCAATGCATTTCTCCCACTCGATGAGCCGCAGTACCCGATTCCGGCCACAAGATGGCGGCGCGGCGCATCGCCCTCTGTATGCTGTGCAGAAATAGCTCCTGAACTTTATTAGCAACATCCGGTGTGGACAACAGTGGAGAGATATGGCAGCTTGTAGTGGATATGGAAGCAGAAGAGGTAAGGATGAGATTTAATAATAAAGGAGTGATGACAATCTGAGGGAAGTGTTAGGGACCCTTCTATGTGTGTGTTATGTGTGTGTTATGGGAAAACTATATATAGGTATACAGAGGGCACCGCCGACGTTCAAGTACTGGTTCCTGGCCCAATCTTAGGCACCGATGGGTCTTTTAGAAGTGCGATCCGGAGGCCTTTTATAGGTGGCCAGACAAATGATGTCACCTTCTACCCCCGTCCAAATCATCGCCCCCTATCCTGGAGGACTCTGCGCTGCCGGAGGACTCTGCTCTGCCGGAGGACTCTGCTCTGCCGGAGGACTCTCCTCTGCCGGAGGACTCTGCGCTGCCGGAGGACTCTGCGCTGCCGGAGGACTCTGCTCTGCCGGAGGACTCTGCTCTCTCTGAGGACTCTGCTCTGCCTGAGGACTCTGCTCTGCCGGAGGACTCTCCTCTGCCGGAGGACTCTGCGCTGCCGGAGGACACTCCTCTGCCGGAGGACTCTGCGCTGCCGGAGGACACTCCTCTGCCGGAGGACTCTGCGCTGCCGGAGGACACTCCTCTGCCGGAGGACTCTGCGCTGCCGGAGGACACTCCTCTGCCGGAGGACTCTGCGCTGCCGGAGGACACTCCTCTGCCGGAGGACTCTGCGCTGCCGGAGGACACTCCTCTGCCGGAGGACTCTGCGCTGCCGGAGGACACTCCTCTGCCGGAGGACTCTGCGCTGCCGGAGGACACTCCTCTGCCGGAGGACTCTGCGCTGCCGGAGGACACTCCTCTGCCGGAGGACTCTGCGCTGCCGGAGGACACTCCTCTGCCGGAGGACTCTGCGCTGCCGGAGGACACTCCTCTGCCGGAGGACTCTGCGCTGCCGGAGGACACTCCTCTGCCGGAGGACTCTGCGCTGCCGGAGGACACTCCTCTGCCGGAGGACTCTGCGCTGCCGGAGGACACTCCTCTGCCGGAGGACTCTGCGCTGCCGGAGGACACTCCTCTGCCGGAGGACTCTGCGCTGCCGGAGGACACTCCTCTGCCGGAGGACTCTGCGCTGCCGGAGGACACTCCTCTGCCGGAGGACTCTGCGCTGCCGGAGGACACTCCTCTGCCGGAGGACTCTGCGCTGCCGGAGGACACTCCTCTGCCGGAGGACTCTGCGCTGCCGGAGGACACTCCTCTGCCGGAGGACTCTGCGCTGCCGGAGGACACTCCTCTGCCGGAGGACTCTGCGCTGCCGGAGGACACTCCTCTGCCGGAGGACTCTGCGCTGCCGGAGGACACTCCTCTGCCGGAGGACTCTGCGCTGCCGGAGGACACTCCTCTGCCGGAGGACTCTGCGCTGCCGGAGGACACTCCTCTGCCGGAGGACTCTGCGCTGCCGGAGGACACTCCTCTGCCGGAGGACTCTGCGCTGCCGGAGGACACTCCTCTGCCGGAGGACTCTGCGCTGCCGGAGGACACTCCTCTGCCGGAGGACTCTGCGCTGCCGGAGGACACTCCTCTGCCGGAGGACTCTGCGCTGCCGGAGGACACTCCTCTGCCGGAGGACTCTGCGCTGCCGGAGGACACTCCTCTGCCGGAGGACTCTGCGCTGCCGGAGGACACTCCTCTGCCGGAGGACTCTGCGCTGCCGGAGGACACTCCTCTGCCGGAGGACTCTGCGCTGCCGGAGGACACTCCTCTGCCGGAGGACTCTGCGCTGCCGGAGGACACTCCTCTGCCGGAGGACTCTGCGCTGCCGGAGGACACTCCTCTGCCGGAGGACTCTGCGCTGCCGGAGGACACTCCTCTGCCGGAGGACTCTGCGCTGCCGGAGGACACTCCTCTGCCGGAGGACTCTGCGCTGCCGGAGGACACTCCTCTGCCGGAGGACTCTGCGCTGCCGGAGGACACTCCTCTGCCGGAGGACTCTGCGCTGCCGGAGGACACTCCTCTGCCGGAGGACTCTGCGCTGCCGGAGGACACTCCTCTGCCGGAGGACTCTGCGCTGCCGGAGGACACTCCTCTGCCGGAGGACTCTGCGCTGCCGGAGGACTCTGCGCTGCCGGAGGACTCTGCTCTGCCGGAGGACTCTGCTCTGTCTGAGGACTCTGCTCTCTCGGAGGACTCTGCTCTGCCGGAGGACTCTGCTCTGCCGGAGGACTCTGCTCTCTCTCTGTTGAAACATTTTTTATTGGATTCTATTGTGTTAGGGAATAAAAATATCTGACCCTGTTCTGTATCTAGACCACCGGGAGACAGAGAAGGAGCGGAGTCACATGATGGAGATACTGGACCTCGCCCTGGAGATCATCTACCTGCTGACCGGAGAGGTGAGGAGGATTCTGAGAGGTCACATGACATCACTCTGATCTCTATTATAACACTCAGACCTGACCGCAGAGGTGAGGAGGATTCTGGGAGGTCACATGACATCACTCTTATTTACTATCATGTCTTGATATCCAGGATTACAAAGTAGTAAAGAGGACATCTGGTGACCATGTGACACTCAACAGTTGTTCCCATGCATCTGAAGGATGGAGCGAAAGCCGAAACATGGTGACTACAAGAAAAAACAACAGCAAGAAGATCCTAGAAGTCGTCCAAAAGATGATGGAGCTGCTGACGGGAGAGGTGAGCGGTGCCGGGAATTCTGGGACATGATCCAGGAACAGACAAGGGATGTGTCTGGGTGGTGACTGTATCATTGTGTGTGTCAGGTTCCTATAAGGTGTCAGGATGTCTCTGTCTATTTCTCCATGGAGGAGTGGGAGTATCTAGAAGGACACCGGGATCTCTACAAGGACGTGGTGATGGAGAATGAGCCGCCCCTCACATCACCGGGTAAGAGGAGAGAGCAGTACGGAGGGTCCACCTAGATCCCCCATCATCTGATACACACATAGAAACAATGTATTCAGTCAGTGTGTGTGTTTCCTACAGATGGATCCAGTAAGAGGAACCCACCAGAGAGATGTCCCCGTCCTCTGTATTCCCGGGATTCCACACAGGAAGATCAGGAGATCCCTCACCACGATCAGGTCGGTGGGACTGATTATCCTTATTTTATATTTACAAGGTGCTCTCCGAATTCTTTACGTTTATAACTTTTTTTTTTTTGTAATAAGAATGAAATTCGGACTAAATGTGAAGAGGAAGCTAAGAAAGAAGAGCGGCATGTGAGGGGTGAGGAGGAGGAGGAGGAAGTTCCCCCAGAGATCAGCACAGGTGAGGAATAATTAGAGTCCGGATTCTCCTTGTCTTGTGACTCCAACAATCTCTTCTCCCCTGGCGTCAATAAGATCAACGTTCATGCGCGATGACGTCACGCGTGCGGGGGTTGTCACCCAGCCTCGGGACGCCCCTGTGCACCAATACCGTTTTTTCGGTATCGAGTTACAAGTACCGATTATTTTATGTTTTTTTATTGGTTCTCGCCGATACAATCAGGAAGCCAGGCGGCGGGGAATGACATGCCACCCGGCTTCCTAATTGCCCGGGAAGCCAGCTGCATGTTATTTGGCCGGCTTGAATGTGATTGGCTGGGAAACCGGCTTCCCAGCCAATCAGCATCGGACGAGCTCCCCGGGCCAATCCAGAAGCCGGGCGGCGAGTAATGACCCACCTCCCGGCTTCCTGACTGACTGGAAAGCCGGCTTCCTGGCCAATCGGCAGGGAGCCGGCTGTTCGGCCAACTCGATGCTGATTTGATGTGAAGCCGGCTTCCCGGCCAATCAGGGAGGCGGGTCATTACTTACCACCCAGCTTTCTGATCGCACGGGAAGCTGACTTCATGTTCCCCTACGGCACTGCCGATCAGAGGAAATCTTCTAAATGGAAGTTCTGGCATCGGGGAAGGTATCAGAGCCTTTGGGTGAGTACGAATACTCGGTATCGGCACCAATACTTACTCGGTATTGGTGCATCCCTGATATAAATGACCTTTACCCTAAGTCATGTTTTAGGTGCCTCCTCAGAGTTCAGGTATAAAGGATCAGACTCGGTAGATTAAAATAGTTTGTGCCATAATATAGCAAGAAAACCAGAGGTGGGAGGAGTCTAAGTTCAGTGATTCCAGCCATTTATAACCAAACCTTGGCAATGATGAAGACAAAGGAGAACTCCGCACAGCTCGGTTTGTGGTCAGGAGTCGTAAATTCAAAGACCAGTCATGTGATAATTAGAAGAGGGTGGACGGTGGCGGGTCTATTGATATGTGCGGAGCATGCGTGTGTATCCCTCACCCGGTGTGTAAACTTTCCTTTATCTCCAGCAGTCGGATGGGAGACCAGCGAGTCTTCAGACCTATTTCTGGGGTGTAAATCAGAAGATGGAGGCGCCGTGTCCGCTTCCTCAACAGACATCGACGTGGCCCCAGAAGGACGTTTCGGGTCACACGCAGATTGTAGAGCAGGAGATGGGAACGTGTCTTCAGAAGACAAACCTTCTATTTCCAATGCGGGACTCCTCAGTACCCGACTGTCACTGGACACACCTCCTAATCCCAATCGTCACCGAGGACTCTCCAGTGGCCATCTGGCACTGGATCATGCTACTAGTGGTAGGCGTCCTCTTGAAAACGCAGAGACATTCGGCTCTTCAGAAGACAAACCTCCTAATCCCAATCTTCATCCAAGACTCCCCAGTGTCCAACTGTCACTGGACCATGCTACAGGTGGTAGGGGTTCTCTTGACAACACAGAGACATTTGGCTCTTCTGAAGCCACACCTCCTAATCCCAATCTTCATCCGAGACTTCCCAGTGTCCAACTGTCACTGGATCCCGCTACTAGTGTCAGGCGTCCTCTTGAAAACCCGGAGACATTCGGCACTTCAGAAGACAAACCTCCCAATCTTCACCCGAGACTCTCTAGTGGCCAACTGTCACTGGATCCGGCTACATGCGGTGGGCATGCTTTTGAAAACGCAGAGACATTCGGCTCTTCAGAAGACAAACCTCCGTATCCCAATCTTCACCCAAGACTCTCCAGTAGCCAACTGTCACTGGATCCCGCTACATGTGTCAGGCGTCCTCTTGAAAACACGAATACATTCGGCTCTTCCGAAGCCGCACCTCCTAATCCCAATCTCCACCCCGGGCTCCCCAGTGCCCTTCGGCCACCAGATCCCCCTACATGTGGCGGGAATCCTCTTGACAACACGATGACGGCGGCAGACCCTCGAGCCGTTGACGCCCTGTTCGTATGTTCGGGGTGCGTGAAATGGTTTTTGTTGAAGTTGCCCCCGGAAGAGTATCAGACCATCAACTCGCACAAGATTCCTTTCCTGTGTCCAGACTGCGGCAAGCGCATCACTCAAGACACGGGCCTCCAGAGGCCTGGCAAAGCCGACAAAGACACCTTTGAATGTTCGGAGTGTGGGAAACGTTTCGGCTTCAACTCCGAACTCGTCAGACATCGGCTCACCCACACCGGAGAGAAGCCCTACCAGTGCGTCGAGTGTGGGAAACGGTTCCGGCAGCGCGGTTCTCTCCGCGAACACCAGAAGATGCACTTCGGGGACAAACCGTTCTCCTGTTCCGAGTGCGGCAGTTGCTTCACCCGCAAGATCTTTCTCCTCAACCACCAGCGTATTCACACGGGGGAGAAACCGTTCTCTTGTTCGGAGTGCGGGAGAAGCTTTGCGCAGGAGGCGGTCCTCATCCGACATCAGGTGGTCCATACAGGGGTGAAGCCCTATACCTGCATAGACTGCGGCAAGAGCTTCGCCCACAGGTCCAGTTTTATGACGCACCGGAGAATCCACACCGGCTTCGAGCCCTATCCCTGTTCCGAGTGCGGGAAACGCTTCAAGCAGAAGTCCTACCTGGTTGACCACTTCAGGCTTCACACTGGGGAGAAGCCGTACGGCTGCGCAGAGTGCGGGGAGCGTTTTACCCGGAGGCTCTTCCTGCGGAAACACGAGCAGGTCCACACCGGGACGACGTGGTTTCCCTGTATCGACTGCGGCAAAAAGTTCACCGAGAAACGGCTTCTCAACAGACACCAGAAGATTCACTCTGCCGAAAAAACCTTTAGCGGTCCACCGGAATCACAGACGGGTCTTAGCTAGAAGTCACCGGACACTGGGGAATTCAGGTCCTGAGATGGGGACCCTTTGACGGTGAAATGAATTGTCACACATACCACCTTGGGTGGAGGATTCCTTAGAGGGATGGACATTCTATTTATATTAGAGTCAAAGAGAATTTTTTTTTATCTATGGGCTCTGTTATTTATAAACTGGCTGTAGCTCTTCAAAGAGGGCCCGTGCCGGCCTGGGAAGGGGACCCCTGGTTCGCTCGGGGTCCCCCCTGGCCAGTTCGCCCAAGCCTAAGTGTCCTGTGGCCAGCTTGGCCCGGGTTGTTGCCGGCATTGGCGTAACGATCACGATAGCGACCCAGGCGACCGCTATGGGGCCAGTACATCCCCCTGATGCCGTGCGGGCCCCCTGGGTCGCTATGGCATTTCAGGCTGCTGGCTGTCGCTGGCGGCTGTGAGGAGAAACACGCAGCCATTCACATGCGAAACGGCGCGCTCCTCCTCACAGCCGCTGAGTCGATGACAACCAGCAGCTTCGGGGGAGGTGGCTGGGCCTGTCGTTGGCAGCGATGGAGGAGGCGGAGCCCAGCGATCGAGGAGGCAGGTCTTAGCGATGGGGAGGTGGGCCCGGCGATAGAGGAGGTGGGGCCCCCAAGCGATCATGGAGGAGGAGGCGGACAGAGGATCGGCCAGACAGGTAAGAGGGCTTGATCGGCCACCTGAGACCCAGCAGAGCCCACCATAGATAGTCTATGGTGGCCTCTGCAGGGTCCCCCTCAGGTGGGCTGTTTGGGTTATCAGGTGGACTTATCTAGAAATCACAGGGCCCCATACAAGATTTTGATATGGGGCCCTGTGATTTCTAGTTACGCCCCTGGTTGCCGGTGTTCTGTCGAAAGCTCCAACTCATCGAAATCTCCAACGACCTCACTTCCGGTGCTCAGAAAGACCGGAACTCTGTACAGTTGCAGTGCGCATGCGTTTTCAGAATCCTCGTCAAGTTTGCCGCCTGCTGAATATTGTTAACATGCAGCCATACAGAAGCTCCGTCACTCTTTGTGTTTTGCCGTCTAACGCCGTCTGGTCGAAAATCTCCAACTTGCAAGTACCCGGCAGTGAGGTAGTTGGAGATTCCGACGAGTTGGAGCTTTTCGATAGAACACCGGCTCCAGCCTCCCTTGCCGCTTTTACTAAACCCATTGAATTTTTCTTACTATTTATAACAAATGTTCTTTCTAGTTTTCCCCATTTTATTACTAGAAATCTCCAAAAAGCTTTGAAAGTATGAGAGCGCAACCATTTTGGGGGCTCGAAAGTCGCCCTTCCTCAGGGCTTGACAATAAATTCCATGCAATACCGGTTGCAAACCAAATAGATGCGGAAGCAGTGGTTCGGGCTGTCAGCCTGGCGACCTGAAGCTCTGCCGCGGAATGCATTTAGATTTGCAACTATTGTCCATTATCACTTTGAATCCGTTGTCAGTAGTCCAGTCCTGAGGAAGGGGAAGTTGAGTCCCCGAAACGCGTTGGCTGTTGAAAAATGAGTTCTTGTTGGCCTTTCTTGCAGTGCTTTCTGGACTATATATGTCCCATCTGGGATACCCCTGTTGCCCCTAAATTCGTATTTTAACATCTGATTACTCTGGTCCAGTGCTCCACCAACACCTTCTCCGCTAGTATTCAAGCCCTGAGGAAGGGGGAGTTGTGAGCCCCCGAAATGCAGCGGCTGTTTGACTTTTAGCCATGAAAAGTACATTCCTGCTGGACTCATTCAAGTTCTTGTGGCGCTCTCCTCATCCTTTCAATGCTTTTTGGACTACTCAAGGGAACCTCTGGGATACTCCTGTTGACACAGAGTTACCCTGGGGGTCTAGTGCTCCACCAACTAATTTTCCTTAGGAAAGGATGAGGACATTGGTAGGGAGTGAAGAGGTAGAGGAGGATAGGGACACTGGAAGTCCAGGTATGTCCATCTATTGGTGGGTGACGTCCTTCTGAAGCACTGAGGTACTTTGCCGGTAAAGGCAGCTATGCACCTGAGAGCCCTCGGACTTCCAGAACCATTGGGGGATTCCGCTCCCTCGGCTTTATATTCCTCTCTCTTGAAATCAGCTGTGTAGGCCTCCATTTTGTGCAGTGCCTGACCTACTCTGGTTTCGGTGAGCTTGTAGTGCAGAACATCAGAATTGGGACCTGCTCCTCGTCTTGCGCTGAGGATTTCCGAAGTGTGGTGATGAGGCCTACAGTGGACATCCTTTGCTAGGCCCTGGACTTGTTCTTATCTTTGCCTTATTGTGGTCTGGTGGTAGATTGTCCTCATTGTGCAGAATCTTTGTATCTCTCAGGCTCCCTGTCCACCCTGAAGAGGGCTCATCACACACTTACCTAACCGGTGCATATGAGACGGTGGTGGTGGTGAATGTTATGTGATGTTTATTCCACCTTCCTCACTAGAAACAGAACCTTCACCTCTAATTAGTAGAAGGATCTGGGCATCCATCTTTCCACCAATGACCGGTCAAGGAGCTTTTTTTTTTTCCACTCATAGGAATAGCCAAATCAATCTTTGACATTTTATACGTCGGCCTGTGTTGTGCTTAGTGTTGTAGACAGATTACCATGAAGTACATTATATTGCATGAACTCGAATGTCATCCCACATGAACTCGAATGTCATCCCACATGAACTCTAATGTCATTCCACATGAACTCTACTGGCATCCCACATGAGCTCTAATGTCATCCCACATGAACGCTAATGGCATCCCACATGAACGCTAATGTCATTCCACATGAACGCTAATGTCATTCCACATGAACGCTAATGTCATTCCACATGAACTCTACTGGCATCCCACATGAGCTCTAATGTCATCCCACATGAACGCTAATGGCATCCCACGTGAACGCTAATGGCATCCCATGTGAACGCTAATGGCATCCCATGTGAACGCTAATGGCATCCCATGTGAACGCTAATTGCATCCCATGTGAACGCTAATGGCATCCCATGTGAACTCTACTGGCATCCCACATGAGCTCTAATGGCATCCCACATGAGCTCTAATGGCATCCCACATGAACTCTAATGTCATCCCACATGAACGTTAATGGCATCCCACATGAACTCTAATGTCATCCCACATGAACTCTAATGTCATCCCACATGAACTCTAATGTCATCCCACATGAACTCTAATGTCATCCCAC